GTGGAGGGTGTGGGTGTGAATGTGGATGTGGGTGTGAATGTAGTTCTTCACTTTACTCACACCCTCACGCGCACCCACACCCACACCCATACCCACACCCACACCCTCTACCCACACCCACACCCAAACCCACATCCACACTCCATAAGTTTGTAAGAAAAAGATGAACACTTCCTTGGATTATGGTCTCTATAGGGATCATTTTATAAAAATTTGATTCTCTTGAACCATGAAGTATTTAAAAACAGATTTTATACCAACTTAAAATGTATCTATTGTAGACTTCAAATCAATAGGTTGAATCTAGTCTTGAGGGTGTGGGTGTAGGTGTTCACTTCTCTTTATTCACACCCACACCCACACCCAAAATACTACTTTTACTAACGCATTTGAATCGTTGACACTTCGAAATAGCACAATTTAGCCTCTTTTTGAGGTTGTGTTATAAATAAAAATGAATCGAAGCTAGAATTATATGGAAGCTAAGAAAACATTATGAATATGCTCTCTTTGAAGGAGACCTCTTTTCTAACTAATAAATGAGTTGCTTGATTTCCATTGAATAATGGAAAGCGTTCTGTTTTTGAACAAATAAAAGCAAAATATTCGATAATAAAAGATTACATATCTTGTGGTATCTTCCAGCGAAAAATTTTTGAATAATAATCGGATTCTTATCCAACATAATCCGGGTTTTTGTTAGTTGTAGTTTTTTTGTGACGAAAAAATGAAGAAAATCTGCTAATTAATTAAAATCTACACTATGTTACACAACAATCTGGCTGTTAATCAAAAATTTTCTACTAGAGTGCTCTGATTCATCGGGAAGAAACCTCTCAAAAATGTTTTTTTACCTAAGCAAATGTGGATTTTTTCCCACTGGATCAGAGCCTTCCGGTCAAAGACTTTTGATTAATAAGTGGATTATTGCACAACATGATTCAGATTTTAGTTGATTGATAGATTTCTCACTGGGAAAAAACCCATATTTACTTAAGTGATAGAATCTTTTTGAGAGGCTTTTTATCTTCCAATTAATAATCTCATATACGCGATATTTATAGTTCTGTTTTTTTTATAGTTGTTGAGAATTACAGCACAAAAATCCGTACGTCAAATATTCTGTGCCTACACTCGATGCAACTTTCACACAACCAACAACGACTAACATCAGCCAATGTGGATTGCGCTATGAGAGTCACATTTCTTCAAACTTACGACGCAAAGTGGATTCTGAACTGCATCAAAATTCAGGATTCGGCAAGAAATTATTGGCGTGGTACATCAGGATATATCGAAGTTTAATTATCCATCCGTTTCTACGAATTATTAATCAATCCAACCAGATTCAAGACTTGTTATTATGCGATGTAAAGCAGAGGGAAAAAAGTTCTCTAGATACTATGCTTTTGGAAGTATCTCTTTTGAAAACGAAAGAAATATTTTCAGAACTCTCCCAAACATTAGGCAGAAACTACCGCTTAAATCTTGAGAGTCCTGCAAAAATCTGTTTATGAATTTCAAAAAAGAAGCTTCCAAAAGGATTGTATGTATTGACAACTCATTTGGACCCTAAGGTTAGATTCCATGGCGCATGCTTCCATAACGGATGCTCCTCGATGACACTTGCTGTCCAAAGACAATTGCACTCGCGATACTTCGTTTGCCACAGCTCTGGGTTAGGAATCTTAGCAATGAAAAATAAACCAGAAAACTACTGACATCAGATACAGAGTTTGTTTTTACCATATCATCTTAGTCTTCCCTAACGCTCTCTTAGCCTTTACCCTTATCCTCACCTCACCCTTACCCTTAAGTATCGCGAGAGCAAGTGCCGCGGGAGTATCTATCTAGAGAGCAACATTCGTGTTACTCTATCGTAAATGGACAGGGGTACGGTCGTCATGTATAGCGTTTTTGTGTAGTGTAAGCACGATACAGATAGTGCGATCGAATGCGGTCTGATTATGCGCCGTGTGGCTCTTCCTATGTGTGAAACATTCAAGAATCATCAAACTTCGCTAGACATAATTCTTTGTAAAATGCAAAACAATCTTCACTTTACGAAGTTTTAAAAATTCCTATACCCCTTTATAAAATCTGAAGTTCACCAGTGCATCTATTTCTTTAGAGTATGATAATCAACAGATATAATCCGTTAAAATCTTTTGAGAAACGCAATACATCTGATCCATTCAAGCAGTTTACTAATAGCTAATGATCTCAATCCAATTCCATTCATAGACCTCGATTTTAATTATACCAAAGTTACAAATACTTTTACCTAGGTGTAGGTTCCTTAAGCGGTCGGCTTAGATCAACAATCTTTTTTAGGTGTTCAACTTGAAAAAAATCTCTCGATTTTGCATCACTGTTCAGATCGAACTGCTCCGGACACATGCTCATGGTTTTCTTCCTATTCTAGATAGAAGAATACTCAAAATCGACGGAAAAACGATGAGTGGAGCAAGTCAATCACAGTCAAACTTTCCAAGCAGCGCACCAAATGCTCAACAAATGGCACAATTGAGTAATAAACTTGGCGGTTCCACGCGAACATACATAACCCGCGCCGATCGTGATATAATCAGATATGCGTTGGATGATTTTCAAAAGATCCTTCATACAATAGATGGCCTTCATTCGCTTGATGCTACTACGAAAGTCAAGAGCATGGCGCAAATGTGTACGGGCAGATACAGTATCCTGTTTGAACGCGTCCGTCGGTTGGCTGGAGACGTTGACACAGTTGACGTTGAGGACATTGTAATTAGTATTAATCCAGCAGAAATCGATGTCGAGGCTATCTAAGACCACCTTTATTTTTCTTCATCTTATTTTAATCTTGATAATATTCATTAACAGTTAATTATTGAAATGACCATATGTTGTGCTCAAAATAAAAGAAATATCATGCACAATAATTTCTAGTATCATACAGACGTTTTCTTTATCTCATAAAGGAACTACCAATCTATGTCGGCTAGGAGCGGCACATTTACTTTACTTTTGTGGAGCACAATGTAAAAGTAATGTTGAAGTAAGGTGCAGAGATCGGACGCAAGTATTTGTACTTGTAATTTTCGTACTTCTTCAAGTAAAAGTACAAGCACCAAATACACCAAAGAAATACTTGGTATCTTGAGGGTGTGCGTGGGGTGTGGATATGGGTGTGTGTGAGTGTGGGTGTGAGGTGGAGTGGGGTGTCGGCGTGGGTGTGGGTAAATAAATGATACTATCTTCTCAACACACCCATACCCACACCCACACCCTTACTCACACCCAATTCAAGAGCAGTACACAGACAGTTCTACTATCTACGTACGTCAGTTTTACTCACATGACGAAATAAGATTAAAAATTCTGTCTATTTTTCAAGCAAAAAAATGAAATGTAATAGAATTGAATACTGAAATTTTTTTTTTGAGATGATTAGTCAAAAAAATTTTTTTAGACAGTTGTCGAATAACAATAAAGGCTTATATCGCTGGTCAACAAAGTCTCTCAGAGCTTGCAACATGTTTCATAAACTATCAGTGATGTACTTTTGATTTCAGAGAGAATTTCTTTTTAGTTTTTTTTGAGTTAAAACCTTCCCCATGCGCAGCCATGTCGACATATGTCTGTTGCATATACCGAACATTATTGCCTAATATAATGAAACATGTCAAATTGATTATTGATATATTTATTCTTATGATGATATTCATTTGAAACAAAAAAACAATAATCTTTTTTGTATTTATTTTATTTTGACATATTTATACTTCAGGATGTTTATTCTATTCATTAAACATAAATTAAATAATAAAAGGTTAATTTCAATAAAAAAAAATCATTATTAAACAAATCTTCTTTTCATCGAACTAAACTGAAATAGAATATTATATAGTGATTATTGACAAACATTTATAGAAAGAATAAAAATTAAACAGAACGAGAAAAAAGATAACAATTTGATAACGAACTATTTTGTTTTTTCATAAAATTTATCATAACTATTTATTTAAAAAGAAAAAAGAATTTATATATCATTATTCATTGTCATTGACAATCAACACGTTAAATAAATGTTCAAAATCATGATTTATATATCTATATGATTCGAATTATATTTCTAGATAATTTGATGTAGGTTAAATATTTCGAAATCTGTAAATAGATGGATTCAATATCATTAACAATAACTCATGAAATCTTGAATGAAGAAGCTGAACAGACAATGATTGATATTGAACTTCTAGCAAGAAAAGTTTACAATGAATCAATAGTTATATCATCTGAAATACTTATTCGATGGTATTATTTGAATCCTTCTATGTGGTGGATAGCTAAACATCATAATCGTATTGTTGGTTATATTTGTGCAATACCACTTAAACATAATGCTTTCATAAAAACTCTTCAGCCAGAATTTGATGAATTAACAGATATAAATGATAATGATATTAGAAGTTGGAATGATCAATCTAATGAAAATTATTCTTTACATATATGTTCAATTGTTGTTCATCCAGAATATCAAAAACGTTCTGATTTTTCGATATTTCATTTATTAGTTGAAAATTTCTTCAAAACAATATTATTCTATGGAAAAAATGGATCTATCATTCAAGAATGGTCAGCTATTGCTGTAAGCAAAGTTGGATGTCATATTTTACAACATTATTTTGATCTTCAGTTTTTAATTAATGATAATCATAATAATAGTATATTCTATGGAAAAACAAACAATCAACATCAACAACAACTTTTACAGAGAATACGAACGAAATTAAAATAATTCTATATCAAATTAACGGATGATCCAGAATAAATGGCCGAATTTTGCAGTGCATATTTTAATTTCAAAGATACGTTTTATTAAAAAATAAACTATATGACAACATGTAGCATCAAAAAGTTCTACAATCTACAATGTAAAGGTTTTTTTAGTTGTCTACTTTTGATTTTCAAAAAAAAAGCAAAATTCTATGTGATCTATTTTTGGTATTTCGAAAATTGTGGCTATTTTAAAAGCAATCTGAATAAATTTTACTTTGTAAATTGTAGAG